CGAAATGACGTTTAACGTGCTTTTTCCAGGATAATCAGGCTAATCTCGCCACGTTCCGAATGATTTGACTGTAGGGTCCGAATGGCCGGGCCAGTGGTTTCAACGACTCGGACGTTTCCAAATCGTGAATGCACTATGAAGAAGCGCTTGCACGCGGACCGGCCTGTGCGTGGACTCGCGCATAGCGCCCATGTCCCACAATTCTTTCGTTTCGCTCCAAGGTCAACCCTTATCGGCCTTTTTCCTACGATTTGGGGTCGATTCGAGGTGTCTTCTATCTTTGTTTTGATATCAAAATGCAGACGGACAACGCAGAATGACACGACTGACACGTCTGTACGGCCACAGCTTGATTTCAACGATTGGGTTCTTTTCAAATCGTGAATGTGCCCAGAAGGAGCCCTTCCACCCACGTAGGCCGGATTGTGCGTGGACTCGCGCACAACGCCCATATCCCGCAATTGCCTCTTCATTCCCCCAAGCTAGTCAAGAGATGCTTGCGGTCCTGAAACAACGACGCCGACAGCTATTACCGGTCATGGCGATGTGGCAGACGCTCACCTTCAACTGTCGTGGACACCATTCGCCGGCTTCCGTGTTCTCCAGGTGTATTTTGCAGCAGACCTTCTTCTCAGCTGCAAACGACATTATTATGCGCGGTTGAGCTGACAATTGCTCATGTATGTCATCCGGCGAAATCCCCCTACCAGGAAGCAATCGGCCTGAAACGGCGCTGCAACTTGCTCAGGCTGCAAATGTTCTCAAGGCCGACAGTTTCATTGAAACATTGTTTGTTCTGTTCGCGCCCTCCAAATTTTCGATCATACAGTCAACTCTAGCGTGAAATCGCGCAAAGAGTTTTCTCAGAAACCATGACCCAGCACCCCTGGGTTGCACATGTGGAATTCATCGAAGAGGCGTTTCGTAGACAAATTCACAAGACACCTCGGTGAGTATGTCTGACTTAAGGATCAATAGGCATTGACGTCCTTTGATTCATCCACCTGAAGCTGTTTATTGACTTTTTGTCAGACGACGGCCCACCAACAACCAGCAACCCGCTCGCTACCAGTCTTTCGACGTGATTCCAATTTGCCACACAGTGGTGTTTGGCGTTGTATGACAAAGACTTTGGATGACGAACTCGGGCTTCCAATGCAACATGTGATGCTCTTGACACTTTTCCGGGCACGTCTATCCTCTACGCCGGGTGTCAGCAGGTGCAGTGTGCGCCTGCCTATCTTTCGATCGTCTTCATCGACCTTCTCTCCACTCGGTCTGACATGCACGAACAACTCGCTTTGCACCTTATCTCACTTCGATTCAGCACCTCTGTGTGGGAGATGTGGAATTCATTCAACACGGTAGAGAAATTGCCGCACACGAAACCTGGCATCGTCCTGGTGAGTACTATTGTCTTCATCCTCGGGAATATATCTGACTCAAGGCTCAATAGGCCTTTGCGTCCTATGTACGATCTGCCTGAATCTGTTTATCAACTTTCTGGCAGACGAGGGCCCACCAACAACTAGCAATCAGCTCGTTACCACTCTATGGACCCATTCATGTTTGGCGTTGTGTGGCAAAGGCTTCGGATGACGAATGCTTTCAATGCAACGCTTGATGCTCTTGACACTTTTCCGGGCACGTCTATCCTTTACGCCGGGTGTCAGCAGGTGCAGTGTGCGCCTGCCTATCTTTCGATCGTCTTCATCGACCTTCTCTCCGCCCGATCTCACATGCACGAACAACTCGCTTTGCACCCACCTCACCTCACTTTGTTTGCAGCCAACTGTAGCGTGAAATCGCGCAACGAGTTTTCTCACAAACTATGATTCAGCACCTCTGTGTGGGAGATGTGGAATTCATTGACCTGGGTAGAGAAATTGCGCACAAGAAAGCTGGCATCGGCTTGGTGAGTACTACTTATTGTCTTCATCCTAGAGAGCATATCTGGCTCAATGCTCAATAGGCATTGACGACATTTGATCCATCTGCCTGAAGCTGTTTATCGACTTTCTGGCAGACGAGGGCCCACCAACAACGAGCAACAAGCTCGTTACTATGTCGACCCATTAATGTTTGGCGTTGTGTGGCAAAGGCTCCGGATGAACGAATGGCTTCTCGTTTCCAATGCAGCATTTGATGATTTCGACACTTTCCCGGGCCCGTCTCTCCTTTACTTAGGGTGTCAGCGGGTGCATTGTGCACGTTGTCTGCCAACCCTTCGATCGTCTTCATCGACCTTCCCACATAGACCTCAGGAAGATCGGTAGCGATGAAAAGATCTCGAGGTTCGAGTGTCTTGATAATACCCGAAGCAACCAACCCAGAATCGGATCCCAGTTCGATCATCGTTACAGGGTGAATCCTTGCTGCGTCCCAAACAAAAGGGGGTTCAATTTTTCGGTCTGAGGGTGTAGAAACATACGCGGACAACGTGTATGCCGCTTCCCTGCTAGCGAAGATATCAAAGATGAGATCCAAAGTGCTTTTTTCGAAGATTTGATCTACCATACTCTTCTAGCGATCCCGTAAAGACGAATTGCATCCTCTTGAGCTTCTATCCCAAAGACACGCTCGCTATCTGTGCTTTGTCGAGCAATATCGTTCAGGTTGGAGGGGCGGATGTCAAGATTGTCGGGAAAGTTGGGGTCTTGTGCAAGCATGGCAGACGAGGGGCACTAGGCGGAGTTGCTGCCAAACTGGCCCAAACAGTGACCATCGAAATCAAAATCCCCTGCTCCAACGATGGTCGTCAGCCGGCCCTCTTAACCCTCCATTCCACCCCTGGTTCACCCATCGATGCCCATTCAGGCAAAGGCCGTCCAGCGTTTTACGCCACTTGGAGCAGCTTTGGCTGGTCCTCTCGGAGCACTGCATGAGTTCTATCTATCTTCTGTCGCCCCTGCTGACCCAGGAGCAGAGTTGTTTATCCCTAGATGTGTGTGTACGTCTCGCCATCAACTCGCATTTAAATGCTGTAATGTGAAGGCTTTGACCACACGTGAAGTGCCAAAACAAGGATACAACCTTTTCCTGCCGACGCGAAAGGCAAGTGGAAGAACAACCTATCGATCTTGTCCGTAATATTACGGATAATGGGGCTCTATCGAGGTTTTGGCGCGACGATGCTCAACACATTCTCAATGCGTATGAAGTCGTTATTCAAAGTGTGCTGTCTGTCCTCATTTTCGCAATAAGACGCATTCGTTGTTTTATACACATATATCTTCTTAATGACTAGTTCTATGTAAAGACGATCAGTCACTGAAAAACAAAAAGTAATCGCTCCAATTAAAGTGATGCTCTTGCTGGTCCTGTGTGACAGCCATTAGGCCGTCAATTTCACCGAGGGTTGCTGCAAGCCCGCTATATGGTCGGCATTCAACTGGGGGGGCTAAGATATGTTTCTGGCATAGAGGGCATCTATACCGAGGTTTCGCGAGTCCACCACCTTGTTCCTTGATTCGAACGAGGGAGGGTCGGTCATAAGCTGGAAGTTGTGGGTGAAGGCCGAAAGAAAGCGCCATCCGATGAATTTCACTCTGAAAGAGCTCGTTGAGGGCAATTGCAGAGAACTCGTGACCACAAGCCGCCAGACTGGAAGGGGGTTATTAGCTACATGAAGAAATGTAGCGACATAAAGACACTGAACATGAATCGTTTTGCGGTGGACTTCTGGAGGACGGGACATCGTAAATCATCTACCAAGAGATCTGAAAGCTAGAGATCATGTTAGAATCTTGCAGACTGATATTTAACTCAACCTGCCTCATTGAACCAGCGGTTTTGGGCAACAGCACGAGCGACTGCATCTTGGTTCTGGAAAACATTGTTGGAAATCTTCAATGGGATCAAGATGTTGAAGGCTATACGCTATTCAAAAGGCGAAGAAGTCTATTATTCTCCTGTGACAAACGCTAGAAAAAATAGCGCAATCAGTGAGAAAGATCTTTGTATCAATCAAAAGCACTGCAGACCTCCGTAGGAGATTGAATCAGGACGAACCCGTCTCTCTCTAAGAGATTCTCTTCATGAGAGCTGAATGTGTACTGTGGGTCACTGTCGGCAGTTGCGCCGCTATTGGGGTGTAAAGGCATCGAGCTTGAGTTGTGAGGGACAAAGGACTTCGGACAAAGGGCAAGAGATTCGTATTTTCCTGATTAGGAATAAAACATGAACGGCAGTGACATTCTGTGACAATTGGCCACTTCCGCATAAGTCAGTTTTTATTCTGCCTCCCGACTCTATAGCTACACGACTTCGAGGGGCAAACGGCTTCAGTAGCCTGGTAAAAAAGAACGTCGTACGTAAACATACGGCACGCACGTTGTTTCGAAAGTAATGCTGGAAGTCATTGGTCCTTTGCCACAAGGACCAAATTGGAGTTTGCGTTCATCCAATGGTAACAACCTGCCAAGCTCTAACTTGTGTCTGCTAATTGCTGGTAAGGGATGGAATCGCTTATGCAACCCTACTAGAGGATGAGACACGTTAGCCACCTTGAAGCCAATACTCACGGGCGCTTAGCCAGGATGGTCGCTAAGAAGTTGGTACATGGTCTGTCGTGCTGTGATTTGCCGAGGGGCTTGCCTGGGTGATCAAGAAGAATCTCGGGAGTAGGTGCCAATGAAGTGCCCCGTTAGCCTTGAAAATATTTTCAACCGCAATGCCGCCCCAGAAAGACTTCGCTCCAGTGAAAGCTTCGACGACTGATGATGCGGTTGACTCGCCGATGACGCGGTTGACGCACAGAATAGGCCTTCAGTCAATCAAAATGACAGACTTGGCCAGAACGAGGCCGATCAGAGATAGAGTAGGAAGTGCTGGTCATTCTGGCTAGCCGCATTTGAAGCTGAAACTTCGTCATATAGAAAAGAGCAAAAGACGAGTCAATCACAAATCGCAGGGAACAAGGCCAATGAGGGGTGATTCAAGGTTATCGCAAAGATATAGCAATCCATGTTGGGAGTAGTTATGCGCTGATTGGCTAGAAAGTTTTGGAACAGCTCTGTGCCGATGTCACGGTAGAGTTGCTAGGAAGGATGATTGCACGACTCCGGATTCTGAAGAAGCGAAACCGAGTTAATGTCCGGTGAAAGTGATCTGCAGAAGATCCCGCGTGTGCTCCAAACTGGACGTTTTCCAATGATAAAATGGAAGAACTCTCAGCACAACGCCATGCCGCTCCAAGGATACTTCCGTTGGCACCGCTGCGGATGGTTTGAACAGTTGGCGGAAAGAATGCCGATGAAGACGATCAATAGAGATGAGGACAACAACGCGCACAATCCACCTGCTGACAGCTGGAGTAAAGGACAGACGTGCCCGAAAAAGTTCCAAGATCATAAGCCATTCGTCATCCGAAGGCTTTCCCAAACAACGCCAAACATTGATGGGTGGCGATTGACGTCCACCGAAGGTTGACCGAAGGGTAACAAGCTGCTTTCTAGTTGCTGGTGAACCCTCGTCTGCTAGAAACTCAACAAACAGTGTCAGGTAGATAGGTCAAAGGTCATAGATTCCTATCAAGCCTTGTGTCGTGTCAGATGTGAAGACAATATCCACGAAGCCGATGCGAGGTCTCTTGTGCCGCAATTTGTCCACGAGCCACTTGTTGAATGAATTCCACATGAGCCACGCGGGGGGGTGCTGAGTCATAAGTTTGAGAAGACTGTTTGCGCGATTTCGCGCCAGAGTTGACTCCGTGATCGAAAATCTCGGAAAAGGAGAAGCTGCCAGCAGCCAATGCAACACCGTCGGCTTTGAGAACATTTTCAGTCAAAGCAAGTCGCGCCGCTGTTTAGAGCGGTTGGGTTCTGGTGACGGGATACATGGGTCCACAGGGTGGTTATCAGCTCAATTGAAGAAGGCCCGCTGCGAAATCCACCAGCGGAGCACTGAAGTAGACGAATGGTGCCCCACGACAGTCCGAGGTGAGCGACTGTCACATTGGCATGACTCCCCGGCGTAGGCCTGCCGGCCGTTGCCCTAGCACCGCGAGGGGATGCGCTCCAACGCTTGACTACCTTGGAGCAAAAAGTGGGACATGGTACTGTGCGCGAGTCCACGCACAGGCAGGTCCGCCTGCAAAAGCTTCTTCTAGATGCATTCACGTTTTGAAAAAGTTCGAGTAGTTTAAAGTCAAGTCCTGACCTCTCGGACGTGACAGTCATATCATGAACGTGGTGAGACTAGCCGGCGTATCTAAATACAGCACGTTGAAAGGTCAATTTTGCAGAAAACAAAATCCACATACTTCTAACAACGTAGAGAATTTAAATGTTCCAGTTGAAGAAGCCGCGAGTGACCCACACCAGGATCCCGGTCAATAGCAGAAACGGTCTGATCCCGAAAATGGGGGTTTTGTCCGGACGCCATTTCGCAGTTTCTGTCCGGATTGTACCCGGCTTACCTCAAATTTTGTAAATTTGTCCGGGTTGGTGGATCTGGGGGTTTTTCGGCAAAAATTCGTCCGGATCCGCAGATCTAGCCATTCCAGGGCGTAAAAAACGGCCCAGGTAGGCGCAAAGAGTCCAGAGACGCCCCCAGAGCTTCAACAAACAAGAATCAGTATTCTCGATCTATTTACAAGTCCGTGAGGTTCCTGGAATGGCTATCCGGGCTTATTGAGCACTACAAAAACACGTGTAAAGTAAGGATAGTGCTTAGTTCAAGGATCGAACATCCATTCTCAGGGAAGAGTGGCACACGCCATATCGCGCGCTTGACGACTCAGCTAAGAGACCTTCTGTCCGGATTGCTGCCTGAGGGTGTATGTGCCCTGAGCAATCCTGTCCGGGCTGGGGTTCCACTTTCTGTCCGGACTGGCTCCCGGCCGATTTGCGAAAATCCAAATTTTTTGTCCGGATCGGGAACAGACCGTTTCTGCTATTGACCGGGGTCCTCCCACCTTGTGAGCGGAGTTTATTTATGTAAGCCTCACGTGGTTTCCCAATCGTAATTCTTGAACGTTTGAACTTCAATATTTCAATTTGCACCAAATCAGTTATTGTCAAGTTTCTTTTAAGTATCTTGCAACTGGCCCCCCTGGCTTATCCGTGTCGTCAGTGTCACACTGCTTTGGCAAGAGGGCGACTTGAGCGTGCATTTGCGCCCATGGGCTTCGTTTCAAACATACTTGGATCTTGTTTCGAGGTCTGTCATACTTCTCCCGTCATTCTGTCTGTCTGACACGCCGACTTGTAGCCCAAGGCATGAAGAAACTTTGGCTGTCCCCATATCCTTCAAATTCGGCCCATGATTGCATTTCTCTCGATTTGTGTGTTCTTTTCAGGGTCCGTCGGACAAATCCGTTCCTTCCTAACGGAGATAGTTTTGAGCCACCAACTCCTTGAAATACGGGTCTTTGTGCTTCTTCAAGCTGACCTATGGAGGGCAAAAGCCTAGGATTTCAAGTTTCATCTTCTGCTCGCAAACGTCCTTCTATGAGCACCTGGGAAGATCGACCGCATGAACCTAAACAGAAAAGGACGCCTGGTGGTGAGTTGCGAAAGGTCAGTTTTTGTGCTTCCCAACTGCTTTGTTGTTCATAAACATTTTTGGGCGTGGTGTAGGCTCCAGAACCGGTATGCGGTCATCCTCCTGTCGATAGTCAGTTCAACTCATGATCTTCTTATCAGTCACTCAAGCAAGGTCTTCTCAATGGTTATGAAAAACGCCGGGTATTGAAACTCAATTCGAATGATGTTTGATTTTTATTAAACCAATCGTCTTCAGTTAGCGCGGGCCAGCACGTCAACCGTTGCTCATGATAATTCAATGAAAGGCTTTCAAACTGTGGGCGGAGAGCATTTACATGGCAGCATAATTGGCAAACCGTATGGTGCAACCCCCGCTGTTTCCCGTAATATTGCCTCTCAGATGGATTTAAGAGGGGTAAAGCAGCATAATCGCCCTCAGAGCGCAACAGACTAACCTAATAATTTAGGAGAGCAACACCAGAATAGAGGAGAACATATCTCGGGAAATGATTCATCCTCGGAATGAATTACGACAGGACGCCATCCTTGGGGATGTGGTTATCGCAGAACAGGATAAAGGAAAAAGGAAGATGACACCACTACAAGTCGAGGAAATGGAGCGTGATAGGAGGCAGCAACATATTGAAACAAGCCGCACGTCCGATTCGCCACCTATGATGCCACTACATCCACCCATAACGCCCATAATGTTACCATCTCCCATGATGTTACCCCCTCCACCAATGATGCCTCTCCAACGCACTGCTAACAATGTCCATAATCTGCACCACAACTCAGACGTACCCCCTCCTGTGGCTTTGGGCGACTTTGGGCGTCAAACATCGGCATCTCAGTATCTGGGACGTCCAGTGCAAGCGCAACCGCCGACTCCATCTCGTAGCATTCTCGCTTCAAACGAAGGGCACCACTCGTATTCTGTAAAAGACCATCTCCGTAGCGTCCACTCACCGCAATCTCGTCCTGGATCTCCCGTGGTTTCTGCCACAGCCGCCGGGTGGGATGCTCAACAGCGCCCTCGTAGCGTACAGTCTGTTCGACACCGCCATGGCATGACACCCCCAGAAGGATTGGCTACAGGAAGCATTGGTGGCCTAGTTGGCCCTGGTGGTCCACCTCGTCCTATGTCCTCAACCTCAGCTGGCCAAGAATGCTATCGACAGGCTTCCCCACTCCGCCCCCGCAGCGTACAGTCTTCTCGTAATCGAGCTGCCCCGTCTCCCGCGTTTTCCCTGGGAGCTGCGAATTTGAATGACTCTGACCGTTGTCGCAGCGTCCAATCTGCTCACTCATCCTCTCTAGCTTCCCGTCCCTGTGAAGAATTACAGCCTGTTGGCTCTGACGCGCAACTACAATTCAGTGCCAGTTTGAGTGGAGGGGATGCGATGCAGGTAGATCAGCCTATGTGGAGTAGCCAAGGGCACTACGGAGAGCCTGTTTCACAACGTTCCTGCAGCGTCCAGTCTGCTCGTAAACGAACTCCCCTAGCTTCTACAGCATCTTCCCAGGTTCCTGCCATTTTGAACAACCAGAGCATGCAATCTGCTTACCAGCGTGACACAACTTCTCTTGTCGTTTCCCATCCCCGGGAGCAGTCTCGGCCGAGCAGAGGTTTGAGCGGAGAGACCGTCATGGAGGTCGATCATCCCAAGTTTTTACCCCCGGGCAACCAAGGGCACTTTCGAGAGCCGCCTCCACGGGACTCCCGTGGCGCTAATTCTTCTCGCAGCCAATCTGCTTCGTCTTTCTCCACATTTCACAAGGTTGCCGAGGGGCATCACAGTTTGACTAGCAATTTCGCTGTTGGTTCTCGTGGTCAGCATTCTCTGCCCAAGATTGATCTTAGCGCAGGGGTTGCAATGGAGATGCGTAGCCTCACGTCTCTAGGATTGGGTACCTCTAAGAGTGGCCAAGTCCATGATGGAGATTTTGTCTCACGTGATTCCCGCAGTGTCCCATCTACCCGTGATCGGTCTGCCTCTGTGGCCCTCACAGATTGCCAGGTTTCTTCAAGAGCTCATAACTCAAACAGCCCGCATCGTTGTCACAGCGCACAATCAGCGCGCCACCGCTCTGGCGTAGCCTCCCCCTTCGATTCCGATCCTCAAGATGTGCCAGGTATTCACCAAGCATTGGCTTCCAAATTTTCAGCTGGCTCCCATCGTCATAGTTCCCACGTTGAACCCAAAACTATTTCGAGCGAAGTTGTTCGATCTGCGCTATGTCCTCCCCTCAGCGCCCAGGCTCAATCTTCCCTTTGTCGTTCTGGTGCAACTGTAACGACTCCCGTTTCTGCATCGACCTCTCAGCTTGGTACCTATCCAGCCCCAGTCTCGAGCACTATCTTTGATCATCTGCCCAAACCATCCCAGCCTACGTTCAATTGCCACAACCAATTTTTACCCTCTGATACTTTACACTCTTCTGACTCCCCGCAGGCTCCACATCGGCCTTCTGGTGCATCCGCTGGTGCGGCCGTCAACCCCCAGGGTGAGATTATCCACCAAACGTCGGCTCCTTGCCCTCCAAATAGTCAGCAAGTACAGGATGCTCCCTGGAAGCCGATTAGTGACTTTGCCGCGTTGAGTGAAGGGGCTACGGCGAACGTAGCTGGTTTTAGTCTTGGGGGCGCTCAACCTACGACTCCATCTTCGAGTTCTGCTTCCCCTTCCCCTGATGCCAACCCGTTACGTTATCGCCCTGGTCCTCTGCTTTCCCAAGCGAAAGCTGGTGGGGATGATTTGCATCAATTTCGTAGGGCGCCTTCTGCACCTCGCCAGTCTGGCGTAACTTCTGCCACCAATGTTCGTTCCGAGAGGGGTCCTCGAACTATGACTATTGATTCTTTAATTTGCTACCCTGACCGAGATTCTCAGTCAAACGTTAGTTTGAGTGCGATGGATTTAGATAAAGCTACAGCTCCAACGTCAGATGCTCCTTCGAGCAGTCAAGGGTTGGTGGACCTTGATCCACATCGTGCTCATAGTGCCCAGTTCTTCCATAACTCCGCCTCTGCATCCTCTCTACCTTCTGAAGCAGCTGCTCAGCCCCGGGGCTTGGCTCAAAACACCCCCGATGTCATCTTTGAGTCTCACAATACCTCAAAAAGCGGAGTTCCGTCTGACCCATATAACCAAATGCGCCCCAATTTCGTGGATCCGGCAGTCACAAGTAACCAAGCCCTATCATCAATCTCTAATGAAGCCTTCTCCGGAGCAGTACGAGGTTCTTTCAACGAGCCTTCTGGAGCACTTTCTCAAGATATTGGTGCACAAGGCCGTAATTTAGAATCGAGTGGGTCCAGTCGGTTTTCTGATGCGGTACAAGATGTGCCTGGTTCTTTTGACCAGCCTTCTGGACAGCATCTGAGAAACTCTCAAAATGGTGGTGGACAAGCTTGCGACCCAGGATTGAGCGGGCCCAGTCAGAGTGGGCGTGATCAAGTTTCTGATACAACACAAGGTGTACCCAGGACTCTCAATCAACCTTCTGGACTGCATCTGGGACTCTCTCAGAGTGTTGGTGGACGAAACTATGACGTACGGTTGAGTAGGCCCGATCAATTTCTTGAAGCGCTGCCAGACATGCTCGGTTCTTTGTACCCACCTTCTGGATCGTACCCGCCACTTTCTTTAACTGTTGATCAGCAAAGTTATGATCCAGGATCGCCGTTGGGTTCTGACATGGAAGTCGATTGTTTCCTCCCCCGACAGCAGAAAGACTTCCTCCAAGGAGATGCCACCTCGAACCAACGTACGTTCAATCAGGAAAATCTATATAACCAAGGTAATTTTGCTGTTATTTACTCCACTCAAGTTTCGAACCTGAGACGTGCGTCCCTAATAGATCCTCTACCCACGAACCTTCGTCCAGCTGGACCCTCCCCGACGCCTGTCGGGGCGCCTCTGGTTACGCCCATTCCCAAGAAGCCGATCAATTTTAACTTCGATGAGGGTCATAATGACTTTGATTGGGGCTCGTCCCAGGAATCGCGCCCATGCGACCAAAGATTCCATGCAAATTTTATATCTGAAGGGGAACGTAGGATGCGGAGCTTGTCGGCTCCCGGCCTTGATCTAGGCACTATTCCGGAAGACGCAGAAGTTCCAGGTGGTGATCACGCAGGACTAGACACGATCTTAGAGCGGCTCAATGGGGTTCAAAACTCTGTTGATCAAACTCGCAAAGAGTGCCGTGAAGTGATGAAGGTAGTGCTTGGGTCCTCGCTACACAAAGGTAAGAAGAAATTGAAGAAAACACCAAAGCCAAAGGACCCTCGTGATACACATCCATTCCGAATGAGTTTCCTGGTGAGCGTGACTTCGAGATCTGCTCTTCCCTTCTTAATCAATCCCTCCAGCGCATTTTGCGGCGACATCTCTTTCGCCTTTTCAACAACGCCAAAAATGACAATGAACTTTTCTCTCGTCCAGCTCCTACGCCTGAAGAGATCCAAGTCTTCGAATCCCGACAACCAGGGTGTATTCGCATTTCAGCGAGGAACTTTTCCATTGACTGGGCTGGTCCAGGTGGTTCCCCCTTCAATACTGAAGCCGAAACTGTGTTTGCCGATGATCTGCTGACTCGGATTGTCGAGGACAAATGGTACCAAGAGGCCGCACCGATCCCTGAAGCTTTCACAGACGTCACTTACATCCGAACGACATTCCACAAACAACTCAAATACCTTCGTAAAAGGTTCTCGCTATACCAAGGAAA